CCTGTTGTCAAGTCGGCCGGAGGACCCATGTGCTTCTTAATTCTGGGTTGCCTCTTTCTGTGTACTCTCAGTGTGTTTTTTTACTTCGGTGTGCCCACTGACTCTGCCTGTATCTTGAGGTTTTTACCTTTTCTTTTGTTCTACACGGTTTGTCTGGCATGTTTCGTTGTGCGATCTTTTCAAATTGTGTGCATCTTTAAAATAGCTGCCAAGCTCCCCAAACTCCTCAATCTGTGGATGAAATATCACGGCCAGTGGCTGCTGATCTCTGTGGCTTTCCTTATTCAGGTAGTCTTACTGACCATTGGCTATTCCACTGCCCCACCCAAACCTTACAATGATACCTTTTGGTACGCAGACAGAATCATACTTGGTTGCGACCTCAGTCTTCAAGGAACATCTGGACCTCTGGTTCTGCTTTCGACGTTGTGCTGCCTTTGCTTTATCTTCTCCTACATGGGAAAAGACCTTCCAAAAAATTACAATGAGGCCAAAGCGATAACCTTCTGCCTCTTCCTGCTGGTCCTCACCTGGATCATCTTTGCTACTGTTAGCATACTTTACCATGGAAAATACATCCAGACTTTTAACGCTCTTGCTGTACTCTCCAGTCTTTACTCGTTTTTGTTGTGGTATTTCCTCCCAAAGTGTTACATCATCCTTTTTCAACCCCACAAAAACACACAGCAACATTTCCAAGGTCTCATTCAGGATTATACCAAAACTTTTAGCCAGTAGCTGCCTAAAAATATGAGCAACATTAAACAAATGAGTGTTAGATTTAAAGTTTCATCACTTATTTAATGTATGTGTTTATTATGATCTATATACATCTGCTGAAAACCTGTGTGCCTCCTAATTTTAGGCCTTATTTTCACTTATATGGCTGAACAGCTGCAACTACCGGTAGTGTTTTATGGTTTTTACTATTTACTTTATTCTACGGAGTTTTGCATGTCTTGTTGTGTGTTATTGTCAGATTATTTTGTCTTAAGTTTGTCAAGACAGGTTTCCCAAGTCCTCTGCCGGTGTTGATATGGGTTACAAAATAAATTACCTATATAACTTATGAATAAATAAAATGTCAAAGAACATGTTATATTAGCTCTCAAATAATAATAAGGTAATAGATTAGTCAAAGATATGGAAAAATAAAAGTAATAACCAATACATTTCTGCACTCCCCTTTTTCAAAAACCTATTAAACATTTCAACACATGAGATCTACTTATTGTGTTGTTCCCATATTGATTAAAGTGTGCTAACACCACTCTACAAACTGGTTGTTGTAGATTATTCAGGCCACAATTGTTCATTGTTTTTTTTTCAGCTTCGTTACACTGAATGCATTAAAGTTAATCGAGTCAGGAAGTTTGATCAGATCAGTGAAGTATGAAAGGTTTGGTTTTCTCTTGCTGTTGAATATCTCGCCACACGATGGCGGCATTTTTTGTAATAATTATACACTTCACTACCACCTTAAACCATACAAAGACATGCAAAACCTATTAGTCATCACTGATGTCGTTTTAACAGATTAAAATTTCATTTAAGTGAACATGAAAAAAATAGATTGTTGTAAGATTGGTTTCTTTAACATTTCAAATGATCAAAACCATTAATAATGTTACTAAATTATGAACTACATCCCATTTTATCTTTGGGAAAAGCAACATGCTCTACAACTTGACAACAGGCTTTAAACTTTCCTTTCTCATTAAGGTAATACTTATACTGTCTGGGATTCTAGATTTAGTGGACTTGTAGCTTCTGTTTTTCCTGTAGTTCTGTATTATTAGGATATTTTCCTAGCTTACTCTCCATGTGGTTGATGACTGACCAGTGCTGTGGACGCGTGAATCAAGATAAACTGGAGAGAAGATCAACTGATCAACAACTGGCGAGCTAGATGTGGAGAATAGATGGCTCGGGGTAGACAGGGATAGTGGTGGAAGAATATAACTATGTGATGTCAAAGCAGCTCTCTTTAAAACCTTTTCCAGTGATTGTTTTGCTTGGTTTAATTAGGAAATCAACACTTTTAATCAAATTTTACATTTTCAAGTTTTTGTGGTCCTTTGAATAAATGTATATTAACTCTCTGAACTTTGGTGTGGTGTCCTGTTATTGTGCAAGCCTCATAACTCCCATCTTTGTGATGCCACCACATTTTGCTGTCTTAAAGCTAGAAAAGGTGTTTAGTTTGAACGATTCTGTTTGATCAGGTGGCCAATTTAAACACCTGAAGTACCAAAGAGAAGCACTCCCATGGTGGGAACAAATGCAAGTCATCTAGTTTAAGAACACAGTCATGGCAAGGACACTGAATTTGCTTAATCATGATGATTGTTGAACTCTTCGTGCATTGCATAATGTGAGCATTGCAGTCATTTCAATACTTTTGCATGCTGATTTGTGAATTCTCATCCAACCATTTCTCTATATGTATTTTTTCCCACAAGCAGTAAAATGATGAGGCTTCATTTTAAATGGTATAGCATGACTGACAGAGGCAGAGGCAATTCCCGTCGAAGTTTGTGGCAGGTAAGCACGATTAGCGAGAATGAAACGTTTTCTTGCCCCTCTCTGTCTCCTGGGGTCTCTCCTACAGGCCACGGAGCCCTGTGCTGGCCCAACATCAGAGTTTCAGCTAAAAGGAGATTATCTACTTGGTGGACTTTTTGATATTCACCATTTCAGTACACCTTATCATCAGGAAAGACCAGAGGCAATGCACTGCTCCAGGTAAGTCTAACAATAGGAAATCAATTTTCCATTTTCCCACATCAAGTAGAAACCAATGTGCACTACCATGCAGAAAAATGATTAATGGCTATCTGCCATAGAGTCATGGCCCATTGATAAACCCATTTCCCCCAAATCCTTTCCAGCTCATTTAGAGGTTATGAATTATGCAAATGGTTTGATGTAAAATTTGATCTTAGAATGTAAATGTACTGAAGATAAGGTTATAAAGGCATGTAGAGAAATTAGGACAAAATGTTTGAATCTCTGTCCTTTGTTTACCTGCAGTAAGCCCTTCTTATTGCCGCACTATCGGTGGTTTGAGTTGATGAGATTCTCTGTGGAGGAAATCAATAATTCTACCAGCCTGCTGCCAAATGTGTCTCTTGGCTATGAGATTTTTGACCACTGCTCAGATGCCCAGAATTTCCCTGATGTTTTTAAACTAATCTCAGCCAACGGCCTGATCCAGCCTTGGTCGGACCCACAGAGGAATCAGTCCGAACTCATAGGAGTCGTGGGTCCTTTCACCAGCTCTCAGGTCCAGACTGTGGCCCCCCTATTCATGGAAGGTCTCATTCCTGTGGTAAGTGAACACACACATCATATGTGACACTTTGATGATACGCTTTTGGAAATGAATGTCACTCAATATGATTACCTTTTCAAATATTCTGGACAGGTCAGTTATGGAGGTACCGCCTCTATCTTTTCTAAAAAAAGCCAATACCCGTCTTTCCTACGTACAGTGCATCCCAACAAAGAGACCCTGAATGTTATTGTTGACATTATATTGCACTTCAACTGGCGCTGGGTTGCTTTCCTGAACAGTGATAGTGACTTTGGCATCGATGGACTGGAATTGTTCAGGAAAATGATTCTCGACACTGAGATCTGCCTGGCATACACAAAAAGCCTTGATGAAAATGTCAATTATTCAAGAATGTTCAAGCAAATAGAGGCACAGAAGGTTGACACCATTATTGTTTTTGCTTCAAGAATGCAAGCTGAGGCTGTTATTGAATCAGCAATACAATTAAATGTCACCAACAAGGTGTGGATGGCTGATGAAGGATGGTCTTTAAACACCAGGCTCCCAAAGATGCAAGGAATCAGAAATATTGGGACCGTTATTGGGGTATCTCAGCCAGTAGTAACAATTCCTGGCTTCAGCGACTTCATTTATTCTACTAAAAACCAGCCACCTTGTGAAGATTTAGAGCAGCAGACGTTTTGTAATCAGATTTGCAACTGCAGTGACCTCAGTGCTGAAGATATTCTAGATTCGGACCCTTCCTTCTCCTTTCACGTTTACTCTGCTGTGTATGCCATCGCTCATGCCTT